GACACCACCACTTTGACAAGTGGGTGGAAGCCCGCTGAGACCAAGAAGTAGTCAATCTTGGTCGTGGTCCTCTTACAGCACAGTGTGGGGCGGGAGGGGGCGACGATTTTAAATCTGCCTTTCTCGCCAAAGTCAGTTTCCAGTGCATAGGACGGGTTCATATTGACATCCCCGCCGACAAGAATGCTCAGGCCTGAGCTGTGTTGTAGGACGCCCAAGTGAGCGAGCAAGGCACGGTTAGCTTCATTCAGCTTCACCACTTGTGAAGCTATAGGGATACAAGGAGGAGAGGAGCAAAGCCAGGAGGCTCGTAACGGACGGCGACAAGACGGGAAGGATCAACGCAGGGAGGGAGGCCCTCAGGAAGTGGGGAGAGTCCGATGTCCCGCTCCGCGCGGACGAGGGTTGCGACACCCCCGATCGCACGGTTGTCTGGGGAGCGAGCGGCTGGGTTAAATACAGCCTTCCAGCCCTTCTGCAAAGAGTGCTCAACGGCGAGCTGAATTTAATGGGGGTCATCCAGGAGGGTTCCCTGGAGAAACAAAACTTTGTGCCGAGAGGGCCCCAGAGTCCAGGTGGCACCGCATAGAGGTCCACGAATTGCCATTAAAAGTGGCCATGGAGACCGGCCCAACGCCCGAAGGCGGCAGAAGCGCGGTCACTATGTCAGGTCGGCATGGACTGGCTGCGGGGCCCCCCCGCGGGTTACCCCAGCGTCGGGGCCGCGCCTGCACCCGCGCCCGCCTCTGGCTGGGGGGCGCTAGCAGCCTCAGCTGGGGCCCCCGCGCCACCCGCAGGGAGGCCTGTCTCGCCTGCCTCGCCTGCCTCTGGGGCTGCGCCCTGCTGGTCCTCTGGGGTTGCAGCCTCCGCCGCCTGGGCAGGGGCCCCCTGCCTTTCCTGGAGGCCAGCCTCCTCCAGGTGCCCCTGCAGGGCTTGGGGCGCCTCGTTCACGTTCGCAACCGCCCCCTTGATGCGTGACTCGGCTCCCACTGGCACGGTCTCAACTGACGGGGCTTGCGAGGCGGGAGCCTGTGCCCGCAGGTCGGCCGTCACTCGTTCGAGGAGCGCTTCCTCGGACAAGGACGTGACTTCTTCCGGGTGAGCTTTGCAGTACGCGAGGATCTACTGCGAGGTCAGGGTGATGACGGGGGCGGCGATCGGCATGGAGGCCTCGACCATGTTGAACTGAGCGACTGTCTCATTCAACCCGCCGACCCGGGTGTTGATGTCATCCGCCTGCTGGCAGTAGGAAGTGATCAGCCTGTCAATTTGCGTCTCCGTCTCTACGAGCGCCGCCTTGTACTTGAGGATGACGTCCTTTGACGAATTGATATGCCTGCGCAGGCGCGCCGCCTGTTCTGCAGGTGGAAGGGACTGGAAGCTCGACTGCCGCAGGTCTTCCAGCTCTTGCTTGGCCTTGAGGAGCTTGGGGTGGGTGTCGGGAACCTTGGCTTTCCAGAATTGGACCTCCGCCTCCGCGAGCGCCAGAGGGCTTGATGGGCAGTGCCCCGGGGGCGGCTGCATCGGGGCGGCGCCGCCTCCCTTGCCGGCGGCAGGATCGAGGAAGGCCGGCTGCGCCCCAATGGGCTTGGCCTTGTCCTTTCCCTTGTCTTTCCCGCCTATCCCCTGGCCACTTCCGAAGGACTGGCGGGCAGGCGCACTCGGGTTGCCAAGGTAAGGTCCCCCTTTACCGTGGCCCTTCTTGCGACGACCGAATTGGTGCGGCGCTTCACTCATGGGCCGGCCAAGGCAAGCCGTACCAAGGTCGGAGAAAGGGTAAGCCTGACCGTAGCGCTCGTCTGGGGCTGCAGGCCACCCGTACCAGTGCGGCGCCGGCTGGTGGGGCATCTCCCAGCACGGGCCGCATGTCGGGCCATGCGTCTGGGGCGGCGGCGGCCCGGGCAGGGGCGGCAGGGCACCCACCAGCGCGAGGGCTGCGCCAGCCGAGTGCGAGGGTGTCTCGGCGGTCCGCGCCCTGATCTCGCGAGGCGGCGAAGGCTCCCGCGGGGCAGGCCGCGCGCGAATGCCACAGAGGGAGCCGCGACTGCACCGGAGGGACCCATAGCCGATGAGGTGCCCGACGCACCCTGCCTTAGGGCAAGGCCGGGTCTGGCCCCCTCCAGCTGGGCGGGCTGCCGAAGGGCGCGGAGCCATCGGAGCCGCGGACGGGGCCGGGGCGCCGTAGGCCGACATCGGGCGACGGCAAGGAAAGGCGGTGTAACCGGAGAAACACAAGAAAACTTGAGGCACCAAAGCTGCGGCGGTCGCAATAGCCGCCTTAGCAATCCGGACCCAGCCTAAATGGATCCCCTTAGTGTTGACAGGCCGGGCCGGGTATGCCGAATGCGGCGTGCTACCAGAACTCAAGGCTTCTGTGTTGAGTCGGTCAAGCCGAAACAACGGACCACAGGCTAGATGGGTATGCGCAGCATAGCCGTAGCCCACAGTCCTAGGAGAGTTCCAGTGCGGACGGCGCTAGTCTTACCTACCAAGTGCTGCT